GTGGAGTGAAGGTTTTAGCTGGTCTAAGATGGCGACGCTGAAACTATGCAGCCCGTAAACTCTTTTCTGTGGACATGTTTACAGAAATACTGTCAGTCAGGTTCAGTCAGGATTCAGACCCACTGGTTATTCTCTGTACTTTGGTCTCTTCTGACAGCGTTTAGTGTGAAAATTATGTATTTTTGTATGTATTTATAACTTCTGACATGTGGTTTTAGTGAAATATGAGAATTTATAAAGTTACCAAAAGTCAACAAGCGTCACATGTGAGTTCAGGTTTCTGAGTCTTTTATTAGTCCAGTCAGGTAAAACAGCGGTTTAGCTGAAGTTCTGAACTTATTCGGAGCTTCTTATTCGAAATTTCCGTTTTCAGGCCCACCTTAAAACCTGCTGCAAAGACGATATTCCGGCTGTAGGCGGCACTGATGAGTCAGCTTTCCTCATTAAACTGTTTAATCTTGTAAAACGGCACACTTTTGGCTTCTTAAGACGTTTTGCACTTGAAATATTAAGGATTAAAACATGTTGGTCCACTAAAATCTCACCTTAACATGAAGGAATAGATGTTCCTAAAATAGTATAACTTGGTTTCAGACGGACACAAACTGATCTTCACTTTTAAAATGATCAGGATTACATTGTATAATAAGGTCTTATTCTCTCTAAACACCTAAATACAGACCATATTTTGGCCTTTTCTTTTATATTAAGCTGAGTTTTATTTGGGCTATAATAATTCAGACATATGATAGCATTGTTATCATGAATACAGTGATAATGACCATTAAATGAATTAAAATGTTTTAGACAGGTCAGTGTATAAAAGTAAACCTGTTTGTCCATTTATCAAAACAATAACATCCTAACACTTCATAATATTTTTAGGGCAGATACTTTTAAGGAGCCATTTCTGTGCTGTTTTGCGAGATCACACAGATTAGTGCTAAAAGCTGACTCGTGCCGTCTGAACAGGAGCAATGTTGTTTCTGCAGCAGCATTTAAGGTGGACCGGAAAATTTAAAAAAAAGAAGCTCCGAAAAAGAAGAAATTCAGCCTCATGAATATAACGCGTCAGTGTGAGAGCTCATATAAATTAAAAATGCATTACTGTGCTCATATAAATTAAAATAAACAAATCTTTAAATATAATTTATCATGCTTGGAATGAGTTTAATACTTCTTTCCATAAAGATCAGAAATAAAATACATTTACATGTAAAGTATAATTGAAAATGCCCCAAAATGATTTGTACTTAATGAACTTTAGTCTTTGAAATACACTTTGGAATGAAACAGTGTATTTTAAATGAGTATCACGTATATAAAGATACATGCCCGTGTATTATTCTGTATGGGTTCACACATTCAGTGTTTTCAAGCTGAAACATAGGAGGTGAAAAACTGAGCTAGTGACGTTAACTGAGATAACAGACCATTAGTAGTGGTCCATGTATCTAAAAGACTGGCTGCCTTTCTCTGTGTAGATATCAAGCCACATGTGATCTACTTTCTGTGGTCTGGATGTGGCTTTAATGTAGTGTAGTAATGGTGAAATACTGAATGATTCACTGTGACGCGCTGAGAAATTGGACAGTGTCTCCACCTTTTACTGGTTATCCATCTGGATAAAGGATGTCTGTAGGTCTTTCTTGCTGCTCCACTCTGCAGCACAAACACTGTATATGTTAATGGCCAGCTTGTGCGAGCTGCAGCAGTCAGGCTACCTTGTGGCTCACGTCACTCAGAGGTAGTACGTGTGAAACAGGTGTAATGTCTGCTACATGAAAATAAATAGTAGATTTTCAGTTGATTGAACTCCAAAAACCTGGATCTGCCTCTAGTTGCTGGAAATGTTATTCTTCACTTTCCTCTGAAGCCCATATCAAATCTCTCATCCAAACTGCATTTTCACCTCAGTATTCTTGAGTAGAAGTAAAAGGATTATCATTTGAAAAGTACAGGTAAACCAAAATGTTATGTATATGGATCTAAGTAAAGGTAATTGGTTCTTACCCATCTCTAACTATCTGCACCCCTGATGAAGTCTGTTAAATAGACAGTGGTAGCCAGACAAAGACAGCAACAGTTTACAGCTGGATAAATAGCATTAACTACTCAACTGTATGTATGCATGTATTTATTTATTTATTTTCGTTTTCTGCTACTTAGTTGTTTCTTAGTTTATTCATTTTTTTTCGTTTATATTTATTTATTTCCTTATTTTTGTCCAATGTTTATTTTTTTGTTTACTTTTCTGTTGCTTATTTATTTATTTATTTATTTATTTAATTTTCATTTGTTCACTCTTTTATGTGTCATGATTATTTAATTATTTTTCTTTTTCTGCTACTTATTTATTTTTTTTGGTTTATTTTATTGTAGTTGTATTTATTTATTTATTTTTTGTTGTTTATTTATTTGTTCATTGATTTATGAATTTATTTTCGTTTACTGCTACTTAGTTGTTTCTTAGTTCATTCATTTTCATGTATATTTATTTATTTCCTTATTTATTGTTTTATGTCTCATTTTTTATTTAGTTTTTCTTTTCTGCTATTTTTTTATTTTTTTATTTACTTTTTATATGCTGATAATTATTTATTTAGTTATTTATTTGTTAATTTATTTCTCTTTTCTGCTATTTTTTGTTTGTTTGTTTACTTATTTAGTTATTTATTTGTTCATTCATTCATTCATTCTGAAGTCTTGCCTGAAGTAAACTCCACCATTCATTCACCACTCTTACAGTCTTCAACAAAACTAAGATTAGTACTAAACTGGTCTGTTGAAGATCATCTGGTAGTTTAGAGTAGAAAAGATTCTTTATTAAACTCGGTGGAGTGAAGTTTTTAGCCGGTCTAAGATGGCGGACAGGATTTAAGTCGGGGTGATGTTATTGCTTTAAGACAATGAGAAACAGTTTGTTGGCAAGAAGTCAACAAGCGTCACATGTATGTTTAAGTTTCTGTTGAGTCTTTTATTAGACGAATCCAGGGAAAACAACGGTTTAGTTTTAGTTCTGAAGTTCTTATTCGGAGCTTCTTGTTTGAGTTTCCGGTTCACAAATGTTGCTGCAGAGACGATATTCCGCCTGTAGGTGGCACTGATGAGTCAGTTTTCTTCATTAATCTTTGTGATCTTGTAAAGCATCACTTAACTGGTTTCTTAAAACTGTTTACACTAAAATATTATCAGCTGTTTCGATGTTATTGTTTTGATGAATAACAACACTGACCTGTCTGAAACGTTTTATTAATTATTCATTCAATGGTCATTATCATTGAACTAAATATACCAATACTGTCACTAAAAAAAAGGGGTTATAACACTCCTTTTTTGTGATCTATGTATAGGTGCACAGAGAGAATAAGAGCTTTTTACACTATATAGTCTTGATCATTTTAATGTTTAACCCTATGTGTGGTCTGTATAGGTGCACAGAGAGAATAAGAGCTTTTTACATTATATAGTCTTGATCATTTTAATGTTTAACCCTATGTGTGGTCTGTGTAGGTGCATAGAGAGAAGAAGGCCTTATATATATGTTGACCAATATATGTTGGTCATTTTAAGGTTTCAATTCAAGTTATTTCAATTTAGAAAGTCTTGTTCTTTCATATTCACTGTTTTTTATAGATTAAATCATTTTACTTTTAAATGTGTATATCAATTCAACCAGTCTGCCACTGGCCCTGACATCAAGGTGCTGTCTTTTAAGTTTCATGACACTATAAAAGTTATGCACATCCTGTAGTTCTTCAGTAATAGAAGTCTTATTAATTATGAAATATAATACTTGCTCAGAAAGTATGGATTTTTTATTTTTTTGAATTAGCAGAAGTTCAGACTTCTGACTTTATACTTTGTCAAGTTATAACAATAATAATATGCTATATGTCTGAACTTAGTTTTGGTAAACAAAAGAAAACCATACTGTTATGAGAAGCTATTGTGTTAAGTATAAGTAATATGATTTGTATTACTAGTCAGGGCCAGTAGCAGATATTCACACTTAAAAGTAAAATGATTTGCTTTTGAAAACAGGGACCTTGAAAGAATCTGACTTCCTAAACTGATATAACTTGAATTGAGACTGGCCCAGAATGATCTTCACCTTTAAAATGACTAGGCTATATTGTATAAAAAGACTTTCTTGTCTGTATGCTGCTAAAATTCACCTTAATAGGAAGGAATATTCATATTCATATTTTTTTTATTAGGCCCCTTCAGGCTTGGACTGCCCATCTGCAGTACTGGGAGATTTTCCGGCTGGTAGACTGACTACTCGGTTGTGCAAAAGGTAAACTAAACTGGAGCTGAAGGTATCACTGAACCTCACGTGTCAAAGTATTTAAAATATCTTATGTAATGGAAATGATTTTCTCTGGAATGTTTGAGTGACTGAGCTGAATATGGTACTGTACTTTGTGAATGTGTATCTTACAAAATAGGTTAATTAGTGTCACATGATTTACATTTTAAGCTTGGAATCACCTTTCATTAAAAAAAAATAAAACTGTAACAGGCATCTTAGAAAATGCTATGTAAAGTTATTTGTCTGTGCAGTAAGTGTTTATTTGTTTCAGATACACTAACAATAGAATAAATACCAATAAAGAAATATCAGAACATTATTGATTTTCTGTGTGTTAGCTAAACAGTTTCCTAAATCTCTCCTGGATAAAGTCCAGCACTTACATTCAGCATCCAATACCGATTTTATATAATCAGTCCTTCATTAAATTAAATCAGGTGCTGCTGATGGAAATGAACAAATCTATGTGGTGGCTGGAGTGCAGAGAGAAGTCAGGAGCAAAACTATGTTCTTCTAACTGTATTAATCTAAACTACATAATAAATAACTTCACTGACAAATTAAACATTATTTTTACTGTATTTGTATTTATATGTATTTATTTCAGTGTTATGTAGCAAACCAAATACATTAGACGCTACTGGTTTTAGTGGCATATCTTGAGAGCATCAACTTGTACTGAAGAAACATGCAAATTGCACTGTCTACACTTTTTTATTTATTGAAAGTAATTTTTATGGTGGGGGCATTAACTGTTTTTTGCACTTGTGCCCATATGATCCTAGTTATGCCAGTGAAACCACCAACATAAAGGATTAAAGAGCATTGGGCCACTAAAAACTCACCATACCATGAGAGAATAGATCTTCCAAAAGTAATATAACTTGGTTTCAGTCTGGCCAAAATTGGTCTTCACCTTCAAAATGAGCTTTAAAAGCCCTTATTCTCTCTATGCACCAATATACAGACAAAAAGGGTTAAAACATGTTGAGGCACTAAAAAATTATCGTTACTTGAAAGAATAGATCTTCTTAAAATAACCTAACTCGGTTTCAGACTGACACAGAGTGACGTTCACTTTTTAAAATGACCCTGATATGTTGTATGAAAGCCTTTAATCTCTATATGCATCTATGTACAGACACACAAAAAAGGATTTTAAAATGTTTCAGATATTTTTGGAAGACCATTTCTTTCATGTTAAACCGAGTTTTTAGTGGCCTAACATAATTCCTACGTATGACATTATTGTTATAATTAAAACAACGATAATGACCATTAAATTAATTAAAGTGTTTTTAGACAAGACAGCTCAAAAAAGTAGACCTGTTTGTCCCTTTATCAAAACAATAACAGCATAAGAGTTCAGAATATTTTTAGTGCAAATGGATTTAAGAAGCCAATTCACTACATTTCAGAAGTTTTACACAGTTTAATGATGGAAAAATGACATCTACAGGCAGAATATCATCTCTGCAGGAGCATTTAAGGTGGGCTTTAATGTAATGTAGTAATGTAGACAATATGCTTAATGGTGTTCTGTGACATGCTGAGAAATTGGACAGTGCTCAGAGATGCCACCATTGACTATTTATCCATCTGGATTACATATGCTTGAGTAGAAGCAAAAGTGTTTTCATTTGAAAATACTCAGGAAAGTACAATTCCATTAAAATGTTACTTGAGTACATGGAAGTCAGTAAATGTAACTAACATGTAACGATTATTGCTTTTTTTTAAAACATGCTCTCTCACCAACACCACATCTGTCCACATTTACTCCCTTGCTGAACTGTATTTAGTAAACAGTGGCAGCTGATCAGGCATTGACTGATGCTGTAGTGAAATCAAGTTTATTAAAGCCTGTTATTCAGTGTCCTGTTCACACTTTAAATGTGAAACTCTTCACAGGGAGCAGAGAGCAGTGTGTCCAGTGTCCTACTGTGTCTGTGCAGAGTAAAAACCCCATGATGGAGCCTCATTACTTCAGCAGTGTTGAGGAATCCTCTGACTTAAAGTAAGTCATATTCTGTTAGTATTCATTTTTCATTTTTTTTCAGTTTGAAAATGGTTAATTGTATTTGTTCACAAGAGTTCCAGCTATACAGCATGACATTTAGATATGATGTATTTTAGGTAGTAATGTTAATTTAATTTAGTTAAGCTTGTATAACTGTGTATACTTTGTCAAAAGCAGCTTGTAGTCAAGGATGTAGTGGTTAAGGTAAACTCTAAACTTTAGTGGTGCCCAGTCGTGTAACTGCAGAACAATGGATGTTATAGAGTTAGTATATTTTCAGCTTGTGATGAAACTGTTCCAATAGGTATAATAAACCCTTTCTCATGTGTCTCTGCATCACATTTCCAGACTGCAGACATACAGGGCTGAACCTCTAGAGCCCAGCTGTGTGTCTATGAAGAGCAGCAACTCAATGTTTCTGCCTCCTGTTTTCAGTAATGAAAGAACCATTAGTGACCTGAGGTGAGATGTTAACACAACATAAGTTTCAGCTGCACAATTCAGTCATAGTGGTAAATTTATCTCCCTGGCTGGCTAGCATAATGAATGAGCTGGGAGAACTGGTGAAGAGTTAAAGGGAGCATAAAGAGTGAGTACAATGGCTCCCCTTTGACCTGAAAGCTATTCTGAATAACATGAGGAGGCCTTTTAAAAGAGAAATGAAGGGGAGGTTATGCAAGTGTAAAAGGAAATTAAGCAGAAGAAGAAACAGGGTGAGCAAGAACTCCTATAGAAGAAAGGTGGAGGATAAGAAGAATAACATGAGGAACATATGAAGTGGTATGAAAGAGATTATCATCCCCTTCAGTAGATCAAGTAGAAAATTTGACTGACTCAGCGTAAAGATGATTGGGAATGTCACAGAGAAAAAAGATGTAGCAATAATAAGTTCAAGAATGAAACAGTTATTGACAACTGTGCTATAAAATGTTTATTCAGGAAGCGGAACAATTGATCAGGGCTTTTGGACACCTTGACTGGTCCCCTTTTAGCTTAAATAAATGTTAACGCAACATCTTTATTTTTATCTGTTTTGACAAGATGACAAGATTCATTTTATAACATTATGTTGAATAGCATTTTTAATCCTAAGTGGAAACCAGATCTCTTAACATTTGAATTCTAATTACTATAAAATATAATCCGCTGTCTGATGTAGCTATTTATCTGCATTCATGTCTGTATTTATATCTTTTTCTTATGTCTCCACATCACATTTCCAGACTGCAGACATACAGAGCTGAACCTCCAGAGCCCAGCTGTGTGTCTATGAAGAGCAACAACTCAATGTTTCTGCCTCCTGTTTTCAGTAATGAAAGAACCAGTACTGACCAGAGGTGAGAAATAAACACAACATGTTAGTGAGTTTCAGCAGCATGTTTCAGTCATAATGGGACATTTATCTCTGGCTAGTGTGATGCATGAGCTGGTGGAGAATAAGGGAAATAACATGAGGAACCTATGGAGTGGTATGAAAGAGATCATCAGCATCTTCAGCAGATCAAGTAGAAAATTTGATTCAGAGAAAAAACATTTGTGAAGGCCACAGAAAAAGAGACGCAGCAATAATACATTGCAAGTTTAAGAATAAAACAGTTATTGTGAACTGTGCTATAAAATGTCATGATTTTTCTTCTGATTGTTCATTTAGAGGGCTGGACAATTGATCAGGACTATCTGACAGCTTGACTGGTTTTAAAGAAGTGATGACACTAAATGTTTAATTTATTTTTACCTCTGCTGATAAGATGGCAAGATTTAATTATGTTGTCTTTTGTAACACGTTTAATCCTGAGATTATGAAACCAGTGATCTCCAAACTGCACTCCAATTCCTGTAAATATATTCAGTTCTCTGCTGTAGCTTTTTCATCTATATTTATCATTTTGTCCATATTTTTTGTATATTTCCTTTTCCCTTTTGTTTCAACATCACATTTCCAGACTGCAGACATACAGAGCTGAACCTCCAGAGCCCAGCTGTGTGTCTATGAAGAGCAACAAATCAATGTTTCTGCCACCTGTTTTCAGTAATGAAAGGACCAGTACTGACCTGAGGTGAGACACTGATATAACGTTTTATTATTATTCATTTATTTTGTTAACAGTTTCAGCTGCACATTTCTGTCATAATGGTAAATTTATCTGCCCTAGCATGATGATTGAGCTGTGAGAAGGGGAGGTTAAGCAAGCGCAAAAGAAATTTAAGCTGAATAAGACACTAAATCTTTATTTTTATCTCTGCTGACAAGATTTAATTAGTTACATTATCCTCAATAAAATTTTAATCCTGAGTGAATGGAAACCAGATTTCCTAATATCTGAATTCTAATTTCTACAGAAATAATCAGCTGTCTGATGTAACTCTTTATCCACATTTATGTCAATATATACATCTTCTTATTGTGTCTCTGCATCACATTTCCAGACTGCAGACATTCAGAGCAGAACCTCCAGAGCCCAGCTGTGTTTCTATGAAGAGCAACAACTCGATGTTTTTGCCTCCTGTTTTCAGTAATGACAGAAACAGTACTGACTTGAGGTGAGACTCAAAAATAACCAGGGTTGGGATAGCTACTGAAAAATTAGTAGTTACCTACTTTATAGCTACCTTCCCAAAATTTGTAACGAGCTACAATTTAGCTACTTTTCAAAAAAGAGTAGTGGCTACTTTTTAGCTACTTTCAGAAAAGTAGTGCACCACTTTTTAGCTACTTTTTCCACCTGACAAGTTGTTTTCCAAACAAGCCCAACTGAAAGTGTGAACAAGACACTGCATTTAATCATGTGCCAGAAAGAAACATACAATTGAAAAACTGCAAATATACAAAAAGATCACCAAAAACTAACATTTAAAGGTGTGATATCCAACAAAAAATCAGACTAAGTAAAGGCAAAGGAAATCATTCCAGGTATTTTCTAACAAAAATCAACTAAATTAGTTGGATACAAACCAAATAATTTTGTGCAAAGCATTGTCAACTGTTGAAATAAAACTGCTCCAATTTAAACATTTCAGCAAGATCTACAGACACGACATTCAGATTCCTTTGTTAAACTTCAGTAATAATTTATCCTCAAAATCCTCATCCTCAATCCTCTGTTTGAGGTGAGAATCAGGCCTGTGCAGCTGAATAATCTCTCCACTGCTGCAGAGCTGTTGCAGCGCCACAGCAGAACTAGATTTGTAGGTAAAATATCATAATCCTCCTTTGCTGTAAAATCGCTATAACACACAGTTCTAACACAGTTTTCACAATAAATGGTCTTAAACAGAAAAGAGAGAGATTTAAGACAAGCATCGATAATTTGAAAATGAATGGACTTATTTGTACTTATAATCACTCCAGCTGGTTTCCTGATACGTTTAATCTGCAACAAGTCGCAAAGCCTAAGTCAGCTTCTCATTCTCCTGCTTCTCATTTGTCCCGTTCCATCTTAAATGGCGCAGCAGTACAATCTGAGGGTATCTCACTTTCAAGCTGCTAAATGCTTCAAAGAACACTCTTGAATAACTTTTAAATATACAATACTGTGAATGTCACAAACATGTTTCTAATCCGCTGACTATATTTTGCTCTGAAAGGCTCGATTATGGCTTGCGGAAAATGTAACCAACTTTGGTTTAAGTTTGTTTCCCATCGGGCTGATGAAATCTCCTGCACTGAAGTGCACTCACACAGATGTGCATATAGCCATCAGGATGGAACTGACAAAATTCCAGTACCAGAGGCTCTGTGTACATGTGGGAGGAGTGTGTGAGGCTGAAAGGTCTAATTCAGTATTGGCAGTTTTTTCTCCTATGTGTGAGGGAAAATGCCTTAGACTGCTAGTGGAGCATTTACATGCATTTCTTCTTTTTGGAAAGTGGCTCTCATGCAGCATGATTGGAGGACTGTGCTGCACATGATTCTATACACCTAGTATGTAGGGCTGTACAGTATGGACATTAAATGTGATGTTTGATAAAGCTGTTGGATATCACTATGACAATATGAGAAGCAATAACATATTATTAAAATGGTGTGTCTCTGGATGTGATGCAAGTGCAGGCTTTTTTGGGTGTGTAAACAGAAATCTAAATAATTTCTATTTTAAGCAAACATTGTAGTACAAAATTATAAAAAGCCTCAGTGTACTACTGTAATTAAAAGAACTACAAACAGTTTAAACAGAAACAAAACAGCTACTTACACCAGAACTTCAAGCACATTTTTTTTGCACTGAAAGGCTAAGAAACAGTCAGCATTACCTGAACAGTTTAATTTTTTGTACACGCACATAAAATGAATACATATTTTTGTTTATTGATGTTTATTTAGTTTTTAAGTATATTTGTTGGGACAGTAGTTATTACTGCCTCACACACTTAAAACACACTACTGGGTGTGAGAACAATGCTAATGTTTGATGTGTTTTTACTGGCTTGTAGTTCAGGATGGAGTAGTTTTTTAGCTGTGCATGTGTGTGTTTTATTATCGGCTGTTTAGCTGAATGGTTATTTAACTCCACATGAGAGAGCAGAGTTCAATCCCAGCATAGGGAAACACTCATTAGGCTTCTAACAGTTTGTGCTGGCAATGTAATCAAATCTGTCTGGTGCTACTTGTTGGAGTTAATTTGATCTGTCCTGTCATCGCCACTCTAACGATGTATTTATCACGGAAACTCAGATTTTGATAACAATAAAAATGCAATTCATTGTACAGACCCACCAGTGTTTGACTGTGTCATTACTACAGTACATTGCCTTGTGTCTCACGCTCATTCTTTTTCTTCCATTCTCTCTCTTTTCTCTAGGTGTGTCAAGGATGTGTCGCTCCAGTATCAGTCCAGGTGTGGAGTGTGTGAGCAGATTCAGACAGATCCAGTCTCTATCAATTGTGGACACAGTTTCTGTAGACAGTGCATCAACAGCTATTGGAGCCAGTCTGCTCAGTCAGGAGACTTTGCCTGTCCCCACTGCAGAAAGAGGACTAAGACATGTCCTGTTCTGTATCAACTCATAGAGGAGTCCATGAAACAGGAAAAAGTGGATGATGTCCTGCACAGAGTCTTAGAGAGACACAAAACCAGCATGAAGGACAGATACGAGAGCTTATTTGAGGGATTCAAAACACAAGAGAATAAAACCCTCCTGAACAGGATTTACACTCAGCTCTACATCATAGAGGGAGAGAGTGAAGGAGTGAATGAAGAACATGAAGTTTTACAGATTGAAAAAACACTCTTGGACCAACACTGGCAAGATACACCAATTAACTGCTTAGATATATTTAAACCTGTACAGTGCACTGTAGAAGAAATGGAAGAAGACAGTATCAGAACTGTGATGGCTGAAGATGTCAGATATGAAGTAAGAGAAGAAGTTAAAGGTCCACAAGTGCAGAAACTCAGAACTGTGCTGACTAAAGGCATTGCTGGCATTGGAAAAACAGTCTCTGTGCAGAAGTTCATTCTGGACTGGGCTGAAGGAAAAGCCAATCAGGATGTAGATTTGATGTTTGTGCTTCCATTCCGAGAGCTGAACCTGATTAAAGATCACCAGTACAGTCTTCATAGACTTCTGTGTGACTTCCATCCTGAGCTCAGAGATCTGGACACAAAGATATATGATGAGTGTAAAATGGTGTTTATATTTGATGGCCTGGATGAAAACAGAATTCCACTGAACTTCTTACAGCGTGAGAACCTCTCAGACATAACCAAGCTATCATCACTGGATGTGCTGATGACCAACCTCATCAAAGGACAGCTGCTTCCCTCTGCTTACATCTGGATAACCACTCGACCAGCAGCAGCCAATCACATCCCCTCTAAGTACATCAACCGTGTGACAGAAATTCAGGGATTCAATGACCCACAGAAGGAGGAGTACTTCAGAAAGAGAGTCAGTGACCAAGACCAAGCCAACTTCATCATCTCACACATTAAGAAAACAAGGAGCCTCCACATCATGTGCCACATTCCAGTCTTCTGTTGGATCTCAGCCACTGTGCTTCAGCACATAATGAAACAGGGTATTACAGAAATCCCTAAAACTCTGACTGCAATGTATTCATACTTCCTGAACACTCAGACAATCATGAGGAATGAGAAGTATGAGGAAAATTCTGAGATAAATCCAAAGGATCTCTTGGGATCCAACAGAAAGTTGCTTCTGAAACTGGCTGAACTGGCTTTCAAACAGCTGATGAAGGGCAATGTGGTGTTCTATGAAGAAGATCTGAGAGAGTGCGGCATTGATGTGTCTGAGGCCTCAGTGTACTCTGGCATTTGCACTGAGATCTTTAGAGAAGAATTTTTGCTCTACCAGAGGAAGGTCTACTGCTTTGTTCATCTGAGCTTTCAGGAGTTCCTGGCTGCTCTCTATGTGTTTCACTGCTATGTGCACCAGAACATGGAGGAACTGAAAGTTTTTAAGATCAAAAAGAACAAAAAGCAGTCTGACAGTGTTTCATTGGAAGATCTGCTAAGGGGAGCTGTACAAAAAGCTGTAAAGAGTGAGAATGGAAACCTGGATCTGTTTCTCCGTTTTCTGCTGGGAATTTCACTGGAGTCCAATCAACAGCTCTTAAAAGACCTTCTGACTCAAACAGTGAGCAGCTCAGAGAGCATCGACAAAACAGTTCAGTACATCAAACGCCTAATACCAACAGAGAACCTTTCTTCAGAGAAATCCATCAACCTGTTCCTCTGTCTCACTGAAATGAATGACCAGTCTTTATACAGACAAATTGAAGAATATCTAAAATCCAATAAAGGCTCGAACAAGACACTCTCTCCTGGAGAGTGTTCAGCACTAGCCTATATGCTTGTGACTTCAGAGGAGGTGTTTGATGAGCTGAACCTGAAAAATTACAACACATCCGGGAGTGGTCATTTAAGATTGATCCCAGCTGTGAGCAACTGCAGAAAGGCTATGTAAGTGTGAAGTCTGAATTAATGTATTTTAATATTTGAATAATGATGGCTGAGAATGTCAAGTTACCAAATATCATTTCCTGTTATCAGTGGGATAGAATGGCTAACAGATTGTGCATACAAGTAACAAGGTAGCTGTTTCAGTGAGTATTTTAGGGATATTAAGTTTAGATGCATTACCACCACCTGTAGAAATTTCACCTCAGTAACTCTGACCTGTAACAGATACACACATCCCCACAGTGCCTGAAATCCCACCAAAACACTGATGATCTGTATAGCTATATATAATTGCACATAACATGTGGAAGAACATTTTGTAACTTTAATGGCTTCTGACCCACACAAGCGGATGAACTTGAATTTCACGATTGTGTTGAAAGAGTAGTCAGAAAGAACTCGGTGAAAACTTGGTGAAGGATGTGTCCTCTGAGGTTGTGAGCGAATTATCCACTATTGTCATCATATCGTCATCATTGTAACGCTGATTTTGCATCTGAGACATAAACATGGAGTCAGATCTTCAGTTTGAGCCGCATGACGTGGTCCGAAAACTCACACAAAACTGTCCCAGTACCTCTTTTAAATTATTATTTCAGGCTTTACAGGATGACTAACAGCGACGTATGCTTACCATATTTTAGTGTGTTCTTTTTTCTCCATACTCAGTAATGCTATTTCTTTCAGTTTCCTTAAAAAATTACAATAGTGCTGTTTTAAGTAGCACAGTGGGTAATGATACCGCCTTTTATGCAGGAGAATGAGGTACAAACACACATTATTGATGGCAGTGTGAATATTTTTGGCTGACATTGGAAGAACGCTTAACACTTAATATGCTGTAAATTTAGTGTAAATCATGTTTGGGTTAACCTTTTGTCCCCCTGCTCTCTAAAATGTCTGTGCACAAGCCTGCTCCAATAAATACAAATTCTTAAACAGAACTTTCAATTGCTATGCGCCTCACAAAATAAGCCCTAAAAATCACAATTCCTAGAAAGAATATGTCTTCATAAAAAAAGTCTAGTGGGCTTTCACTTTACTCTGGTCGAAATGCATTGTGAGGCCAAGTTTTGATCAACAGCACTATTAACTAAAGATGGCAAATGACATACGGTCTTTTTGAGTTGTTTTGAATTTTTATCGTTAAATTTTTGACGCAGTTGTGATTTTGTTATATCACTGTTGTTTAAAGACTTTGCTTTTTGTATTTATTCTATGGACAAAATCTATTTGTATTTATTGTTATTTGTATTTATTATTATTTGTGTTGTTATACTGTTATGATGATTAACATAATAATAATAATAATAATAATAATAATAATAACAGGAGTAATATTATTATTCTCACAAGCACAGAATCCATATGCAGATTTAAACTGCTTATACAGAACCATGTTTGCAATGTAGAAATAAAAGTAACACCACAAAGCATTATACAAGTGATGACATTAGCATTCAGTGTGCTGCATACACAAGAAATGCACAGTAGTGACAATAAACATGTGAAACACCTTGACATAATGTTGTGCATGGAGGAAATACAGAAGCATTGTTAAATAATATGTGCTGCTGTACCATAGCAGCAGGAAAAATGGGTGAAGAGGCAGGATGCATGCACAAGTTTTGTTTTTTACCGTCCAGCTCAGCAGTGGGAATTAATGTACATGCAGAATTGAAAAAAACAGCTAGAACGTGGAGCTAGAACAAAACTGAGACAGAGCATGGTTGAGACTGGAGGGCGGAGTCTGGCCATGGATACTGTGACATCCACTTTACAACAACACAGTAGTTTGCAAATATGATCTGTGAAGCAAAAGGCTAATATGGTGTGTCAGCTCATTCTCTCTCTCTCACTTTCTCTCTAAAAAAAGAGAAAAAGAGGCAAAATGTGGAAAAAAGATGTGCAAATAAAATTGAAAATATTCTCATAGAACAAATATTCAGATTGAGCCAATTATTTATACTTTCTGAATAAGTATGTAATGGAAATATTCCTACTATACAAAAGTGCTACTTTACACATGAATTTCATTATTTATGATTCATGGGAGCTTCAATTCCACATTCTCTGTTTTAACTGTAACTGTTTGTCTTGTAGACTAGCTGACTGTAAACTCACCACACAGTCCTGTGAAACTCTCTGCTCTGCTCTGAAATCAACAAAGTCACTCCTGAAAGAACTGGACCTCAGCAACACCGGCCTGCAGGACTCAGAGGGGAAGCTGCTCACTGCTGGATTGAGGAGTTCAAACTGTGTACTGGAGATTCTCAGGTGAGCTTTCTGTAAATTCATTCCTGCATGGAAAAAGTTAGGCTGTGAAAGCACAGTAAACTGTGCACTCAGAATACTCAGGCCATTATTTAAAGATTTTGGCATAATCCAGCTGAAATACAGCCACTCCCTTCAGTGCTCCCTGCAAAGCCTCATTCCCAAAACACATGTATGCATGTTACATAGGCTAAAACACCTGGCAGTTGGTGCTTGAGTGGTAAATGATTTTCAAAAATAAAATTATGACACAAGCAGACATTAACAAAGCTGTTTAGGTAGCTAATGTCAATGAACACAGAAGCTTGTTAACATTAGTACATTGTGGACTGACTTCTCCCGAACCCAGAATCCATTTTTGTGCTTTAGATAAGCTAATATAACTAATTGTTTAAAAACTTATGCTACAGCAGAGTGCATCGCCTCCACAGTTCCGAATATTTTCTCTGCCAATATTTCTTTCAAGAGATAACCTGTTTTCGCAGTGGGTCTTATCAGAAAATAGGTTTGTAACTCCTCATTTGGAATACTTTTCTCCTGTTTAAAGAGCATCTGGGGCAGCTACAGAGAGCACATTAGTATTTCCTCTGCGCATACACCAATAAGCCATGACATTAAAACCACTTCATTGACTTTCATAGTCTATTTTATCAGCTCCACTTATGCACTTTGTAGTTCTGCTATTTCTCTAGATACTTTGTTAGCCCCCTTTTACCCTGTTCTTCACTGGTCAGAACCCCAACAGGACCACCACAGAGCAGGTACTATTTGGGTGGTGGATCATTCTCAGCACTGCAGTAACACTGATGTGGTGTGTTAATGTGTGTTATGTTGGCATGAGTGGGTCAGACACAGCTGTGTTTTTGGAGTTTTTAAACTCTGTTTCCACTGCAGTGTGATTTTTCACCCCATTTCAGTATAAATTGGCTACTACACTGAACTATAACTGTAAAATGTACGACCAATTGTGACAACTAATTGTGATTCAAACAGTTGACACATAGTTGCTTAATACCATATAGTTAATGGGAAGGGTGGAGCAAATACAGAGAAACAGTACTTAAGAGAACATATTGCAGCCATGTCAAAATCTTAATCAGTTAAAAGTGAAATTTTAGAGCCATAATTAATTTTATAAAAGCATTAATTTGGAAGCCTTCACTTTGTAAGTAGTTTACATTCATTTTCCTGCACTATGGTTAATGCCACTCATAGCAATTCTAGCTTAAATGCAGCCATTTGATGCTTGTAAATATACAAGTAGCATGTTCCTCCTTTGAATGTTGCAGTTCAGTGAATCTTCTAGTAAATAATTCAACTTAACTAATTTAACTAATTATAATAAGAAGTGTATTTGTATTTCTGCCATGTTGGCTGTTTAAAAAGGAATGTGTTCTTACATCAGGCATGTTCAGTATGATTAATGACATTTTACTTCATATATATGGAATATGTGAATGCAAACGCACCTGCATTCATGCTACAAAATAGAATCTAGAACCCTTCTGATATATTCTCATAGAACATAAGAATAATGTGAGTAGGGTATTCTAGGTTTCTGGATTTACTATGACAGTCTATTAGTTACCCTCTAAACGCTGCTATTTCTGCCCACTAGCGCATCATTTCATTTCAGTGTCTAGGTATTTCAGTTCAGCAACAAAGGATGAGCTTCAAGAAAATAAACAGTGTTAGTGTCTTTTTGTCTGTTGTTTTCAAATAAATAAATAAATAAATAAATTAATTAATTAATTAAATACATTTTGTCTCATGAAAATCAGCCAACATCTCCATAAAGAAAAATCAGTGACACTTTACAAGGATTCCACATTAATGGATAATTATTTGCTAAAATGTAATCAAATAATACATAATTAAATATTTATATATTAGTTTACCGTAGCACTTAGTAGTTAATTATATATTTTTTATTATTATAATAATTAATTAATGTGCACATATTATTAGTTAGTATTAATTAATTCATTAATTAGTACTTATCAATTAGTAACTTTTAGTGATAGTTTACTTTGTCATTAGTTCATAGCTTATTTTTTATTAACTGTGTGCTAATTGCTGATTTTTACACTGTTAATGACCTGTTAAGTGTGTTTACTCATATAAATAATTAACATGTGAACTTACTAGTACTTATGATTTAGTCCCATTAATTATCTGTAAATCTATTGAATTATTGTTATTAATTAATTACTAGTTTGTGTCCCTCCCAGTGAAATGATCGTTTTTACTAATAAATATACTACAAACTCATGATTAAGACTTGACTAGTTACTGATATCTTAATTTCTCACAACTTGTTTTTTTTTTGTCCCCTTAAGTGGAAAATGTGTTGACATTAACAATTATTGCTTTTTCTAAATGATTCTACACAATAAACCAAACACAATTCAAGAGCAATTCGTTTTTTTCTTTAAACTATGTCCTTCACACTTTCACATCTCATTCGATGACAGGTTGCTCCAAAAAAGAACCATTTAGTCACTCCAAAATTTATGATAACAGTATGACAGATACTGTCAATATGTTCATATTACACTCTGCTGTTTATCACGAGAACTGTCTACATACATCTATGAAGAACGCCCTGTCTTTTAGGCCTAACTAATCTGTCCAGTTAAGTTTCTACTGTGATTCACAGTAATGTGCATCAGCTTAATCAGTTGATTAATTAGCAGATAATTAACTTGACTAACTCATAAGTTAGTTATGTTACTTCTCTATATGAGAAAACATACTTTTCAGTTCATTAGCAGTGTAATAAGCAGCAGTTAATGAATGATAACTAATGCTTAATAAACACTTTATAATAAATAAATAAATAGTAGTTAATGATTTATTCAGATAAATATTGTTTAATTTGAAACCCTTAATGGAAAGCGTTACTGAACAATCAGAAATGGAAAAACGCATAAAAAATTATGATCCGTGATTCTAAAATAGTGGATCTTTATGTTCAACAGCACATCACACATCCCTGTACAGATTTTCACTGTCTGTCCTACTTAACAGCCTAAGTTTGTCTCCAGTTCTTTTTTGATCAGTTACCTCATTAAAAGTGGCACATGATGAGCAGAGCTATGCAGCTGAAGTTAAACATTGCTAAACTTGATCGAGTGGAAACACATGTCAGCATGTTTAGTTGAATTATTGGTGCACTAAGGAATGCAGCAGTGATTTTGGGCAATATCAGCTATTTTTTATAGCACAACCAGAAGCTGTTTAACGCTACTATTTATACTTCCGCGTTAACGAATCTGGAAGTGTGAGAATGGTCTGTTGAGTACTGTTGGGTCAATAATCTGCTTTGTAATCAGGGCTGGAATACTGCATATTGACGGTTTTAAGAATATTCAGGAATCTACTAGTATGGAAAATGATGGAAAAATTTCACGCTTAAAAGGAAGGAAAAGAGACAGGCTGAAATGTGAGTGTGAAGAGCTTGTTCAATCTTATTACAGAGAAATGTGGAACATAATTCTGGGGTTAAATACAGTATTTATCGAACTAAACTGAAAGAATTTCTGACAGGATATTTTATTTATGTGTGTGTGTATATATATATATATATATATATATATATATAAAATGTGTGTGTGTGTGTGTGTTTTTGCTCTAGTTGTTTTAAAAGAGTGCTTATACTTAGCCTAGCTGTCTCTCAAAAAAGCATTCAAAAAAAGACCTATTGAACTATTGTTGCTGCTCCCTCACCCTGACCGATTTTGGTAGTCTATGCCTGTGTCGTTGCTGACGGTCACTCTATGAGATGACCAAATAATGTAGAGGTGATCGTGTAATGTTGATGTTGATGATTTTTTCCTCCTGTATGGGCTGTTGGTTTGAGCAGAGGAAACATTGTTGCACACTGTCAGTTTTTTGCCCAGTGAGTCAGCACAGTCTCTTATTCAGTCACTGATAGATTGACAGACTGATCCTCTGGCCCTTTGTTGAAATACACATGCGTAAGTGAAGTGATTTCAACATCCCTAAATGTAGGACTAAATTAGTAAATAATGAAAAAAAATGGAGGAACACATTAATTGAAACATGTAATGAGTCGTTTCTCTCTTGACCAAATGATGGGACCAGATCTAATCTTAATAAGTTTACAGAATGGCTGTGGTCAAATGAATTGTGAAATTTCGTCTTGGTATCATAGCTTTGGGATTAGTTATTCAAAGTTTTTGTCATTGTTTTCTTTTAAAGTGAAAATTAAAATGAGATCTGTGGGGTAAGAAGGCTCCTATTAGTATAGTACTTCAGAATATTATTTAGATAGATCTTCATCATCAAGACACAAAGTGTTTCACTGAAGTTTCCCTGACTCTAGCTAGCATTAGTTTCACATTAGTTTCTAGTGATCATTAGCTAGAATTAGGCAACTTTTGCTATCTTGCTGGAGTTACGTTAAAAACCAAAAAGAATTGTGAAGATTTTGCCAATGTAATATTATCTAGCTTGGAAACTGTCTTGCTAGTGTTATTAGCGTATGCTGGCAACTAGAAAACAAGTGGTTTTGCTTGTATTTTTCCATTCTCAACAAAAACGTTTAAAATGAATTTTACATTACACATGATTCTTGGTGTCTGTCAGTGTGTGAAAGTTAGTGCTCAGTACTGACCTAGCTAAATCTGTCTTCATGGATTCATTCACAGCAGTACTTAGAGCATATCGGTACATTTCAAACAAATCCACAAGAAGGCAGATTTTTTGGTTTCCTTTGCTTTTCATTTGGGATGCTGATAGCACAGTGGATAACTTTTTCTTAGCAGATGTGCTCTAGCCTAGACGTTCTAGACGTTCTATCGCAATAAGGGTCCTTTATAATTTTACTGTTTAAATGCAAGGTAAATTGATTTATTTGAAATATTTACTAAACATCATGAATCTTTTCATTATTACTATAAATATCAAAACATTTCATGATGGAACATTTCTGGTTGTTAGAATTTTGGCATTCGCTGGACACTGAGGGCAGCTTGAGCACCCTGCACATAATGCCAGGCAGCTAAAGGTGATCCAGCAATAGTAGGCTTGTCATTTTTTTACTTGTATACCAGGAATCTACAAGTCCATTGGAAAGCTGTAGAAAACAGCAATGAAAACATTCACCCCTTCACACCCTCAGTGCTGTGTTTCCTGATCCTGAAACTGAAGTATCTGGAATTCATAGAGACAAAATTTTAAATTAACTAACAAAGTAGCAAATTGTATTGGATTAGTGAACTGTTCTAGCTTTTATACATGTAAATAAGCTGCTATACCATATATACATGGTAAGAAAGATGAAACCATGAGTTAAACAAATAGAACTGATTATACTCATGTCATTTTAATGAAGGAATATTATAAGCAAACTTGAACTTTGTGAGAAAAGAAAAAATGCTGCTGACTTTATTGCCTTTATCCTACTGTAACTCTGTGGAGCCAACTTACTAAGCTACAGATATGCAGGATGTGTGTGTCTAACATGATATATATGATATACATACTTTTTTTTTCTAATTTGCTCTTAATAGATTATCTTCGTGTAATATTGGGAGAAAGTCTTGTGAAAATCTGGGATCAGCTTTACAACTGGTAAACTCCTCCCTGAAAGAGCTGGACCTCAGCTACAATGACCTTCAGGACCCAGGAGCAGAGCTGCTCTCTGCTGGACTGAAGAGTCCACGCTGTAAACTGGAGATACTCAGGTGAGATTTCAGTTTTGATATTCAGGACTTCACCAACACATCTTTTTACATTAAAAGGATATGGTTTATTGAACTTAAAGAACCATACAAAATTACATGCTTAAGAGAGAATTCCTAGATAACAAGATACAAGTGTATGAAAGTGAAGCATGTGGAATAAACTCAAAAAGGTAAAAAAGGTGAAGACAAAGCTAAATAAAAGTATCCCTTCCAACATAATTATGTTTTGGGATATTCATCAAGCCTGGCTAAAGTCAGAAGTCTGGTGCTGAGATTAATAGCTGACTAATGCAACTACTAAAACAAAATAAGGCATAGTGTATTTGAGATTTTTTTCTGAACTTTTTAATTTTGTTTACACAGAGAGCCAAATACATTCATAGTGTTATGAGCATAGCAGTATTTAATGAGTACATGTTTTGATTTGTTTGCTTCTATAAGATTATCTTCGTGTAATATTGGGAGAAAGTCCTGTGAAAATCTGGGATCAGCTTTACAACTGGTAAACTCCTCCCTGAAAGAGCTGGACCTCAACAACAATGACCTTCAGGATTCAGGAGCAGAGCTGCTCTCTGCTGGACTAAAGAGTCCACACTGTAAACTGGAGATACTCAGGTGAGATTTCATTGTTGATATTCAGGACTTCACCAACACATCTTTTTACATTAAAAGGATATAGTTTATTGAACTTAAAGAATCATACAAAATTACATGCTTAAAAGAGAATTCCTAGATAGCAATATCAAAGTGTATGAAAGTGAAGCATGTGGAAAAAACTCAAAAAGGTGAAAAAGGTGAAGACAAAGCTAAATAAAAGTATCCCTACCAATATGATTGTTTTGGGATATTCATCAAACCTGTCTACAGTCAGAAGTCTGGTGCTGAGATTAATAGCTGACCAATGCAACTACTAAAACAAAATAAAACGTAGTGTATTTGAGATTTTTCCTGAACTTTTTAATTTTGTTTACACAGAGAGCCAAATACATTCATAGTGTTATGAGCATAGCAGTATTTAATGCATAAATGTTTTAATTTGTTTTATAATGAGCCTTGGAATGTACTACTGCTACAATAATGCTATTTGCTGCTGCCACACTTATGAGATTTTAATGTTATGATTTTATGTTAATATCATGTTAATATTATGTTAAGCACGCAGTAGTGGACAGACATATTGTATCTGTAACTGAGACACAGACGTTTTAGGTTTTTAACAGAAATTACAGTAATATATTTTTTCTTAAAAAGTCGTAGTTTTACATTGACTTTTTCAATGAAATCCCCATAGAACAGCTGCTTAAACTAACACCTATCGAAACTAAAAATGATATTGGTTGATTGCACTGCTACTTCTTAATTATGTTGTTTGAAATATAAGTTATAAAAGCATAAATACTTTTTTCTTACTACTGTCAGAAACTCTCCTTTGGCTGTTAATAATCCAAACTGTGTAATCTTAAGGAAAAGATAGTCATTTATCCCCCAAAAAAACAGACAGAATACAGAGAAAATAAAACACAGACTTATAAAGTAAGTTATGTAGGATTATTGAAATATTATGTCTTTATTATGAAAAAGTATTTCTCTAAATAAGCTTCTATGCCCAAAATTTATGGTAGCAAAGATGAAAACATGAGCTAAACAGCTGTTGTTGATTACAGTCCCATTTTTATTTATAAACAAACTTAAACCTTTTTTTTGAGAAAAGGAAACACATTCTTCCTCTTGTCACTTAGTGGAACCATCCTAGCTTGTAGTAAGCTACAAATATGCAAATATGCAGTCAGGGTATTTGACTGTTTTGTAAGATGCTGGATGTCTTCCTTTGCAGACTAGATTCATGTAATCTTGAGGAAAAATCTTGTCAAATTCTGGGATCAGTACTGCAACTGGTAAACTCCTCCCTGAAAGAGATGGACCTCAGTAACAATGACCTTCAGGATTCAGGAACAGAGCTGCTCTCTGCTGGACTGAAGAGTCCACACTGTAAACTGGAGATACTTAGGTGAGACTTCTGTAAATTCATTCTTGATATGCAATGCTATATCAAAAAGATGGGCAAGTATATTATCATAAAATATCCTGTCCATAAAAGAAAATCCCTGTATTGAGAAATTGTAACACATTACTAATATCTGTTTTTATATAATACTTTGCAAAAATCAGATACCTGCATTTCAGTCAAAATGACCATTAATTACAAATTATTAATTTTTAGGAGACATTTCTAAGGAGATTAGATATAACATTATCCATTTGTATACTAAAGGAGAAAGTGAAAGGAAATTTGTTGAAAAAACAAGAAGTATATAACATGAGTATAAAACATGGGAGAGCAACATTCAAAATCCAGTCCAAAAATGAGCTTGAAATTTCTATTTGAATTGTTTTGTTCCAAGCACACTTTTGGCAAAGCAGCCATGCACATGGCCCAACGCCAGTCCTGCATGCATATGACCACACACATCAACTGAATTCTGTATTAATACACCAGTTCATTAAACCCCACTCTGCTGTTCATGAATCCTTTGTAAACATGTTTCCAACGTGTTTTGATGTTTCCTGACAATTATAGCCAACTTAACAAACAACAGTGCATAGCAAATAATATCTACTTATTGTTGGTTCTGTTGTGTCTTAGGACATCTTGAGGCATGTCTTAAGAAATGACATGTCTGTAGACATGGATCTTAAGATGTCTTAGCCATAACAACATCCCAAGATGTCTCAAGATGTAGGATGCATAATATTTATTTTTCAATTTTACCTAATTTTTTTTTTCTAAATAAATCTTTTACTTCTAAATATTTTGAAGGAAATATTAAAACGTAACATTTATTTATAGCAAAAACTAGTAAAGAATGTAAGTTTTTTTATTATTTTATTTTTTATTGTATGTAGGATGCATTAGTAGTATTTTATTTTCATATATTATTTTATAAACATACAAACATACATTAGTACATACTACAGTGATGCATTTCAGAACAAATTTAACAATAAAAGTACTAATAATACTAATAATAATGATACTACTACTACTAATAATAATAATAATAATAGGCACATGGTTCCCAGTCTGTAACTTTCTCTACAATGAGCCATTTTATATCAAACCACTAAATGACTTTGTTTACATCGCAATGACTGAATTATGCAAATTTTGAAAAATGTGGAATGGCCCTTTAAATGTTTCTGCTGCATTAGAAAAGCTTATGGAATCAGTGATATGTTCAAAATGTATTTGTTAGTTCAGACCATGCCTTCAACATGGTGGTAGTATGAAGGAAGACTCGTATGCTAACTATTTTTTAATACAGCGTTGCTGAAAAAATTTTTAAAATCGAATTCAGTGCTTTTAAATAACTTTTTGTAGTAATTAACCCTTAATGAAAAAACTTTTTTACAATTACTAATTTACAGTAGCTTCATTTTTTAATAAAGGTGTGATTTGATCAACTTTTATAATAATAATAATAATAATAATAATAATACAGATAAATCATTGTAATGTAATTTAAAGGGATATGGAAAATCGCTATTTTACAGTTTTGTATTTCATTGTTAATCTGTTAAAAATGTAGAATACCTCTACTTTCAAATAATTTATTCTGCAATCCAAAGCATAGCCCATGAAAAGGCACCCACATATCTTTCAAAAAATATAGATTACAGTTAATCTTTATTGTTGTTTATTGTATATTTGCGGTTAACTTTTTTAAAAATAACATTCTACATCCACAAGTCTAAAGGCACAAAATTAAATAATTATTGCTAATAGTAATAGTAATAATAATAATAAAAGTAATAAGAATAAGAATGAAAAAATAAATAAATACACACATACATACATACATACATACATATTTAAACTATGCCTCAGAAAATAAAAATATAGTTTAAACCTAGTGAAATAAGACTACTGAAAAGAACTCATGTTTTTTTCAATATTAAAGGAAAACAAATACAGACAACTGGCATTCTGACATGGTTATTGCCTTCTGAAATGGATAAGCTTGCTTTTTTCAAGCTGATATACTGCAATAAAAACACAGTTCCACAAACCAGTAAATCTGATTTTAAGGTCTACTGTTATTCTGTATATAAGTTATGCTAAAGTTATTAGCAACATAGTACTATGAACAACTATAAATGATGGGAAGCCATTTTAAGACAAATTCATACGGACTAAAAAGAATAACTGACCAACAGAGTAATACAGAGATCTGAACCCCAGCAGCACTCCTAACATACCTGAGCCAGATAATGATCAGCTGTCAAACAATTAATACCAGACTCAGATGTGCTGGCAGCTGGAATAGAGCCAAGCTGTGGACATTTTATGTGGACATACGTGGACACAGGAAACAGATAACTCAGTGTGTACTCAGTGTGCCAAAATGCCTGAACACTAACATTACTGATATCACACTGCTAATGCTGTTACCGATCTCTCCTTTTAGAGTTAAATCCGTGATGAGTGAGAGAGCTGTCAGATTCACAGCCCATCGCTTCTTCCTCTGTTTTTTCTCAGTGTTGGTCTTCTTTGTCTTCTTTGATTTTAAAAAATCAATCTTAAGACAATAAATTTGAAATTACTTTTGGATCTGCATACACAATCAGGCTAAATTTAAAGAGGACTTATTATGCTAATTTCCAATGTTCATAATTTTATTTTTGGGTCTACTGAAATATATTTACATGCTTCAGTGTTCCAAAAAACACATTATTTTTCTCATACTGTAAATCTCTACTCACCCTCTGTCTGAAACGCTCTGTTAGAGCTCCTGTGTCTTTAAGCTCCTCCTTCCTGATAATCCCAGTATGCTCTGATTAGTCAGCTCGCTTATTTGGTTCTGACTGGTCAAGCACCGGAGCTGTTCCACAAATACAGGGCCTCCAGTAGATGTGATGCGTTGTGTGAGGGCATGCCAAGCTCGCTGGTAGGTGGGCAATATTGTGTTATGGGATTACATCATCTTGTAACAAAGGAAAAGGGCTGGGGCTGCAACTAATTCCAGCCCTCAGGCAGCTGAGAAATGTGGTTTCTGTGGGAGAGAGTTTCTCCCTCTGGCATACACTTTCAGCTTTGTATCTTTGTATTTACATGCACATAACACACATAATGAAAGGGAAAGTATTATAAGTAGAATATAATGTACAGTATACATACTTTATTCATCTAAAATCGACTCAGGCATTTAGTACACAAAGAAATGTGACAAGGCATTAAATAATAACTATGCGTGAACTCCAGCGTGGCACCCAGCTCACACGCATAGCTGATGTTCAGACAATGGTGTTCAGTGTAATGAAAGAAGCATCAGGATGAGGTCACTTGGGTAAGAGCACAGTTGAGTGTTGAGAATGATATGGACTGCCACCATACTGGACAAGGCCCCAAGAGAGGATGTTCCTTTGGAAGGATTGAAAACATCATTAGTTGATTAGATAATTCACAATTCTATTGTTTTCATCCACGTAACAGAAATGATCATTTGCTGTTGAGGCAGGTGTGAGCTTAGTACTGATACCTGTATGTGTTAAAAGCTGTGTTAAAGGAGAATTACACGATTTTTAAGCACAATTTCATCATTAAGATGCAAAAAAGTAGTTTGATACGAAATGTTCCATTGTGGGAAAACTTACAGAGTCAGAGTTGTTCACAGTGGCAGTGACAAGAACCAGACATTTGAAGAGTTCAATGCCTCTAATCTCTCTCACAGAGAATTATTACATGAAATGATTATTAATAAGAGCTAAACTCTATTACAGCATGTTTACTACATGCTGTATGCTATAAATTGTAGCACTCTGAGACTTGCAGTATTACACATTAAAGCACCATGAAGAAGTAAATTCATAAATATTGACACAGTATTGGTGATATTGCCATATCGATATTTTGAACAATGTGCAAGATACATCTTCTAGATGCGCATCATCGAATAGCCGAATAGCCCTCCTCTTTGACACCCCTGTAATGCCCAGTTGGTTGAGGACTTTACAGAGTGAGCGTCCTGCAAAGCCTCTGCAGCCCACCTCTATAGGCTCGTAGTATGTCTTCCAGCCTCTGTCCTTGCACTTTTCCACCAGCTCCTGGTACTTGGCGCGTTTCCTCTCATTTGCTTCCTCAATACGCTCTTCCCAGGGCACTGTGAGTTCCAGCATGATCAGTTGTTTTGCTACTTCAGAGGTGACTATCATGTCTGGCCGAAATGATGTTACTACAGTATGTTGTGGGAATTTTAAGCTGCTTGTCCAGATCAGCTTGCAGCTGCCAGTCAGAGGCTGTGTAGAGGAGGCTTGCCCTTGTTTTACGCTGTGGGCAGGGTTTCTCTCCAGCTCTGATGAAGGGGGTGGTGTCTGCTAGAACTAATAGCAGTGGCTATACTCTCAGCAACCGCCTTAAGCACCTGGTCATGCCGCCAACGATAGCAGCCTTCTCCCAGGGCCTTTGGGCAGCTGCTGAGGAGATGTTCTAGGGTTCCTCTACCAGAGCACAGGGGGCAGGAAGGTGTCTCGCTCTTGCCCCAAACATGAAGGTTTGCTGGGCTTGGTAGGGTATCGTAGACAGCTTGCACAAGGAACCGGATGAGATGGCAGTCCCCCTGCATGATGTTTGACCTGGTAACCTTACGCTGCGGTATACTCTCCCACCTTGTCCATGCTCCCTGCTGCCTGAGCCCCACCGTTTTACTCATGCACTCTTCCTCCACGCCTGCTCGGACCTTGTCCTGGATAAGGTGGTGCATGTCCTTACCCTGGGCCATGCCCACCTGTGTCTTAGGGAAGTAACCCAAGCCCGCTCTGCCAGTCGCCATGGTACCCACCAGCGCTTTTTGTCTTATGCGTGACTCTGCCACCTCCACTGCTTTCTCTGCCCTCTATTTCCTCCCTGTCCTCACTTCAGTGCCAGCTGATGACACCTTCTGGTCCCTGGAGTCCCTGTATTGTAGGGCTTCTCTCGTTCATGCCACCATGAACTCTTCAGTGAGGCTGCTGAAGGGGAGCTGCAAGGTGTTACTGGTCCCATACAGTGCTGCACTGTTGAGGCTGCAGGGAAGGCCCAGCCACTTGCGAAGAAACACAGCTGTAATGGCAAATAATATATTAATAAATTAAATGAACAAAGCGCAGATATTTGAGTACTGTAACCCAGCTTTACCTAAACATTCTGCTCTTCTGTATTACTATAAATACTTCATGAAATATTTGTTTTGAAACCCTGCCAAATCTAAACATCTGTCTGACATTCATATAGTTTTATTTAAAAAAATAAAACTTGAGTCTCACCAGTTGCTCAGCTTCAGATGATTTCTGATGAGAAACATCTAAAACAAAACAGACACATGAGATAAATGCAGCAAAACAACAACAGCAAGGGGCTCCCGAGTGGCGCAACCATCTAAGCGTTGGCCCTATCATCAGGAGATCGTGAGTTCGATCCCTGGTGATGCTACAGCCATCCGTAGCCAGGAGTCCAAGAGAGCACAATTGGCCTCGCTCTCTCTGGGTGGGTGGGATGGCTGCCCTTCTTCCCCCATCACTCACTCAGCGCGATGCTAGTCAGCGCAGGCGTCTGTTAGCTGACGTAACAGATCTGGCGGTTGGCGCTTTCCTCCGAGCGCGTTCAGCTGTCCAGTGACATTGGTGTGAGCGGCAGCTCGAAAAGAAGCGGTGGCTGGTTTCACAGGTCTCGGAGAAAGTCTGTGTTAGCCTGTGTTAGCCTCGCCCTCCTAGCGTTGATAGCGTCGTGTGTGATTGGGGGAGTCCTAACTAGCGGGTGGAATTGGCTACAACTAAATTGGGGAAAAAAACGGGTAAAAATTGGAAAAAAAAAAACAACAACAGCAAGGCATAACAATGAAAAACACAAAACAAACTGGTCATATATTACTGACTAAAATGTAGCCGAGTAAAACGTAGATTATTAACCTAAAGCACAAATAATATATTTTAAAAATATTCTAGAAAGTACAAATCCACCAAGATGTTACTAGAGTAAATGTAACTGAGCAAATTAAAATTATTACTACCCTCTCTGAACTACACAGACTGACGAACTATGTTCAGTTTCATTGTTGTATTGTTCAGTGTGCTGACCCTGCTGCACTGTGATCAATCTTAGATTTAATTCTGAGGCAGCCTTTCATTTGTTCCAGCTACCTCAATGCTTCTGCTGACTGATTCTGCTGCACACTAGCATAACATCTCACCTGTCCATACTCCAAACCTTATGAGCCTCCATGGCTGCACTGCTGGGATGAGACAGCTGTACAGATGTGAAGCTGAGCGGTATGTTTACAGTGCGCTGCTGGGAGCAGATGCTAAGCGACATCTGATGCAGCTGCGAGTTATAAACAGACAAGCCGCTTAGCTAACCTAGCTAACTACATACACTAACCTCACCTCATGTTGATGCTTTCACTTGGCAGATCGGTTGTACTCCAACTGACTGTTAGTGAGGTTGCTTATCTCATTTTGTCACTACTCACCTTTTAAAAGCAGATTCTGACCCCTTTCAGTCGTAACTCCAGTTGCCTTTCCACTCAGCGTTAGCGTTAGTTAGCTATGCAGCTGAAAAATCCTCGTTTTTTGGAGCTGAAAGCGTCACCCGGCAGGCGGCGCTGTCTCAGTAAGGAATGTAAGAGACTGTCTGGACGAGGTTTAACACTCGCTAAACAAACTCGATAAAACTGCCCGCGTTAGCGATGTGAGAGAGTCACTCACTGTAAACGGCTTTAACGGTCACGTTTGGCTTTAAAAGGAAGAACGGTGGAGAGTGCTCGCGCTTCGAAACCGAATGTCCTGCTCTCTAATTGGTCTGAAACTCCTGCCAGTCATTTGTTTGTCCTCCCATAGATCTTTTTTTTTTCTGGTTCACACCTCTCTGCTGTACTGAATGAATTGTGCTGTTTTGTTTTTGTTTGTTTACACACAGTTTTTGTGTATACACAGCAGAGAACTGCAAACCCTTGAAATACACAAGACAGCTGTACAGCATTATTTTACAAAGCATCACTGAAGAGGCCATGTGTTAATATGTTAAAGTCAAAGTATGAAGTTGGACATTGAAACAAAAATCTGTTTATTATATGTGGTGAAACAATACAGATCTTTATATTACCACTCAAATACATTTGCTTATTATTGTTTGTGTTTTCCAAATACCAATAGATACCAAAGATCAAAGAGCAACGTTATGTTTATCATGACATGTTTTCTGCAAATGAGCAGCAGTCTCATTGAGGACATACTTATGTTCTTGTTCTATTTTACATTAGGGAGTGCTGTGGTAATCCTGGTAATCCTCAGTTGTAATTTTCAGTTTGGCAGTACCACAGGAATACCACACTCATACCACAGGACTTTTTGTTATGGACTACTCTTTGGTCTCAACTGAACTGTCTTGTGATGTCTTAAGTCATGCCTCATCTTCAAGACACACAACATAATTAGTTCTTTGTCTTAAGACGTTAACTTTCATGTCTCAAGACAAAGACAGTGTCTTCACTCACACGTCTTAAGACGTTTTGCTTCTTTATGCAAGCAAATGATCTTATATCTAATCTCCCCAGATACCTCCCCCAGGTAACAATAAAAAATGGATTGGATTTTTGTATAAACATGTATTATTGATATGTTTGTATGTATGTGTATGCATTACATCACTGTTGTTTCATTGCTATCACCCACTACAGTCCCAGTATCTCTAACCTTCCTGAAATTATTAAAAACAACTAATAAACATTAAAAATTGGTCAGCTTTATGAAGATTTCCAAAAATAAATAACAAACCACTCTCCCTTAAGAGCCACTATAAATACCTACTGAGGGTGTCTTTTTTTTATATTAAGATCTACCACAATGACCAAATTTGTTATGTTTTCTGTCTGACATCAGCGTTATTATGTGTAATACACAGAATTTGCACAGGCAACATTTTATGATAAATTCAGCAGATGAGAATTTTGTAATTATGCACTAACTATGCAAAAATGTTTTGCTTTAGAGGATGTTTGCTTACTTTCACTTAGAATATCAACAAGGTGTGTAATTTGCCCAGGGGAGCCCAAAATTTTGCATATGACTTTAAATGCCACATCTCTCACTTTGTCTGTTTCCTTCTTTTCCCCTCTTCTCTGCAGGTTATCTGGTTGTATGATTACAGAGAAAGGTTGTTTTTCTCTGGCTTCAGCTCTGAGTTCAAACCCCTCACAGCTGAAAGAACTGGATCTGACCTACAACCACCCAGGAGATACAGGAGTGAAGCTGCTCTCTGCTAGACTGGAGGATCCACACTGCAGACTGGACACACTCAGGTACAGACAGCTTGCAAGCTGCAATACTTGCATAATTTAAAAAGAAGCCATTTATATTTATACAGGCCTTATTTGGTGAGCACTGTCTAACCTAGTTTTTATTTGCTTTATACACACACACACACACACACACACATACTATGGTTGGGGGGAAAAGTCAATTCTTAGATGCATCGTGATGCAGACATGGATGATTCTGAGTCAATTCATAAATGTCAAAAATCGATTTTCTAAATTTTAATTGATAACGGAAAAGGTGGAATTTGGAAGTGTGGAAGTGCAGCACCCGGACAGTCTGCGGCGGCACATAACAAAAACACAACTGGATGAGTGACAAATCCAACCGACACCCTCTGCATTAAAGCCAGGTTAGATCAGGAGTCACAACCCAAATGATAAGAAGAGCCATTTTGTCCTTTCAACAAAAATCAAACCACCTTGGGAGCCACAACATTTTATGTCCAGTATGTCTCAGTATGTCCTAGTATAGGCTAAAAATATAAACAAAAAAAAACAGACTTACTTTGCTCTGCTTTAAGCTTTGGCTAAAGCCACTTCCCTCTCCCTTCTCGAAGATATTTTACTGACACAGTGATCCCCCACTCTCTAAAATGAGACCAAAAGTTACAAAATCAAAAAAATATAAAAGAAAACGGGTAGGATGGCTGTAACATGTGCTGCATGGACATCTATTGCCACAGGATGTTATGTTGCCATAACAGCACATTTTATCGCAGATGAGTGGCAGCTAGTGTCTCATGTGCTCCAAACAAGAGCAGTGAATGAGAGCCTTCCAGTCCACTTGCCACATCCATTTTTTATTAATAACAGATTTTGGAAGTAAATTCATTTCAATACATTACAAATACTTTGCTTTAAAAGTACAAAGTCCTCACACAGTGAGGAAATAAATAGTATATAGTATAAATATATATACTATAGAAAAAAAAGATGCATCAAGGTGCATTGATAATAAATTTATAATCACATCGTAGCCCTCTGAATCGTAATCAAATCGAATCGTGAGGTGCCTCGAGAGTCCCACACTTAACACACACATACACACATACATATTTATATATCGCTTTTGTCGGAAGAAAATCTTCTATCTCCAAAGCGGTAACTTTACAGGAGAAGAAAAAAAACCTACTTCAATGGAACCAGACATCTTTCCAACTCATTTTGGGTAATTTCTTTAAGTCTATTCATCATGAAATTAACAAACAATGTAAAGGGCATTTTCACATTATGTCAAAAACTGAAAAATGACAAAAATGGAGATACGAGGTTTTCTTCCGACTACAGCAATATATATATATATATATATGTGTGTGTGTGTGTGTGTGTGTACATTATTGTCTTATGTACACAAAGGTTAATTGTTGAGGTATAACAATACAATGTGATATATAGCACCGGAATCCATCCTGTCCATGTGTGTATATGTGTGAGAAAGTGTGAGTATTTCAAACTGTCGTGTATTGTGGGTTTGAACATGGATGTCTTAATATTTTCCCTATACTGTAAAATCAGGACTGTAGTATTTTATTAAGGGTGCTGTATTAAATGCAGGTGTAGTAAAATGGAAGCAGTACTAAAAGTTGTTTTACTGGATAATGTACTGCAGTTTTTTAATAGTAATTACATCCATTTTACTTCATTTAATACACAAATAAAACAAATTTACTACTGCAGTATTAAAATTTACAGTAGTATCTTACTGCGTTAATAATATTTCAGTAACACTACTTTTGTACTCTGTCAATTTTACTGTTTGTACTGCAGTAAGAAAAAAGTGCAACAAAACTACATATTGTACTGCAGATTTTAACACTCCAGTATTACCATAATTGTATCTAATCTAATTATACTGTCTATTTTAATTCATTGATATTGCAGTACTAAATTGGATAAAGCAAAAACACAATTTGAGATAATGCAGTACGAGCATATTAATACCACACTGCTTCTAGACTTCTGTATAAAGTGTGGTATTACTATGCATTACTGCATTACTTCAAACTGCATTGTTTAAAACTGCTTTATTATTGTACCAGCCAATCACCATGACACATGAACTTCACAAACTTTTGTACATGTTTTTATAGCAGCAGGCAGCAACGAAACTTTGTGTGTGCTGCGTCTTTTGCTATTCATGCACAATATGAAAGGCTACACTGATTAGCCTAGTAGGGTTTGAATGTATCACTCTGTACTGGCTGCATTATAAGGATGCTCTGCATGTTGAGGGAAGATAGCAGATTTCCTAAACAGGTAGATGTTTGGTGACGTGCTATGATTGTGACTCTTGTGTTGATTCTCTCCTGAGTAATATGTGGCCCCTGAGCTTTTTCCTTATGGTGTGTGAATACTACAGAAGCCCTGAAGGGTAAAATAAATAAAAAAAAAGTTACAGTGCGTTCCTGAGTCTAAGTTCCACTTCTCCTTTACACAAAAATAACTAACACTTACGTTACACAAGTTTTGAACAGAATGAGGCGGCGTTTTTTTTTTTCTTAACCTTCAAGGACCACAGACACACATTTTCTAAACCGCATATCCTTCTGGGTTGCGGGGGGAGCCGGAGCCTATCCCAGCGGTCATTAGGAGGAAGGCAGGAAACACCCTGGAAAGGTCACCAGTCCATCACAGGGCAACCTTCGGGGACCAAGTGAAAAAAATAAATTCTGTGGAGCTAATTTGTTAACAGCTAGCATGCTAATGCTAAGTATTTTTTTTTCATCTGATCCTTGAAGGGTAAGGAATCCTCCACACACACCTCCCCCCGCTGGTCAAAGCTGTTGTAACATCTCAATAGCCTTTGTTTCCATACAGTAGTGAAAAAAAATCAAGGGGAAATAAATTAATTGTACAAGTAATGATGGAATTATATATGGCTGTTTTTTGTTACACAGGAAGAATAAAAAAAAATAAAGTGAAACTTGGACTCAGGAACACATATAATTTTTTCATCTTCCCCTTCAGTGCTTCCATAGAATACGCTACAGAGTGAGCATCTGATATATCACTCTGTTCTGTCTAATCTAGATGAATTGTAGAAGGGTGTGATTAGCCAATACGACTAAAATCAATTGTTAACACTTGCTTTATTTCCGAACAATGTGGCTTGTACAGTTGTCACCAGCTGGCTCTGTATGACAGATCACTGTATCATAAATGCCAGCGACTTCTGTAACTTTTGTTTACAGTGTGAATTCAGTAGAGTTTGTTTATATTTTTCTCACTACTAGCTAGGAAGGTTTGTTAGAGGTGCTGAATTAACAAATTAATTTCTCCACATCAGCTTAGTATGAGTAGCTAACATTATCTAGCTCTTCATGTCATCAATGTATGACTCTCCCACACCTCAAACAACTATGACAGAAAAGTGAAACCACAATGTGAAGCACACCACAGAGCTCAAACCCACAACTTAGATATCATACATTAATGACGAGTGAAAGATGAGAATGCTGTATATGTGGTGTAGGAGTATCACATCACTGACATAACAAGCCAGCTAATGTTGACCGTTCATACTAAGTTGACGTTGCTGAGAAATCAAACAGCTAACCGTTTAGCACCTGTAGCCAGCTAGCCTAACATTAAGTACCAGATAACTGAGAATCTTTTGCTTTCTGTTAAAAATGTGATATACTACAAAAAAATCACTGAAATCCTGTACATGAAACAGACAGTGGCTTTATGTTAGACAGCTGTAAACAGCTTGGGAAGTTTGGGATCTTTCTCTCAGTATCCCGTGCTACATATACAGCGTCCTCCAATCAGATTTGTTTAAATCTGTGCTTTGAGTAGCAGGAACCCACTTCTTCCTTTTACTTTTTGTTGCTTGGGAATACAGTAAAAACTGAGATGTGCCTCTTTTGAAGATCGTGTCATACAACAATGACAAATCAATTTTGCTGACCTTACTTGGAAGTGATTTTAACTCTACTAAAGTGATTTATTGCTTAACCAAATTGAAGTGTGACTAAAACAAATGAGGAAGTTAGGAGAAGATATTAAGACACAAGAAGAAGAAAAAGAAAAAATGTAAATAATAAAACAAGCAATCAAAAGCACGCTCAGTAGAAGAGTGAGCAGATCTGATGTATTTATTTGCAGATTAGTTAGTTTAGATTATTTAATTAACCTGATTTCATGACAAGCTGTGTGCCATGTGGCATTAAATTGTGACCATAAACTTGTTCTTGGATGAGCGGGTCATCAAAAAAACTACATCTGTGCATTTTTACTTGTTCATTTATTTGTTCTTACTTATTTATTTATTTATTTATTTTTTAAAAATTGCCATCTCTAAAATTACTTAATTTGTACATAGCCAAAGTTTTAATAATCAAGGCCTTATAATAAAAATGAATGGGATTCCACCAATTTTTAAAAAATTGTATATAATTAAATTGCTGAGATATAAAAAACGTTATTCAGAGTGGTTTGGTGTGAAATGCTCGATTCTAGAGAAATGTACTGAGTGAACTATTCACAGCTGTGTTGATGGGAACCAGACATCCAAAACATTGAATATCTCTGAAAGTTATTTCGCAGAAAGCTATTACATGTGAAGTAGTTAGGAATACTTTGCCGGATGCCTGGAATATTTTTTACAAAAGTTTTGAGAAGCAGAAATTTTGAAAAATCTGTGGAATTTCCCTTTAAAGCCAGTTGTGTATCAGAGAGGTCATGTTGATGGTGGTGTGGGTAATGCAGTTAAAAGACTGGGTTTGTGCAGCATGAGTTAGTTTAGTTTCTGGTTTAATATATCAGAACAGTCACCTCTTCAACCCCAGAGAATAAAATCCTGACTGGATCATTTTTCATTTAGCGTTTTGAGATTTTGACCCCCTTTTTTCTGATTTTACAGCACAGTCATCTGTTTAATGATGTAGACTAGATTCCATCTGAAGTACATCCAGTGTCAAGTCCTGCCAATGCTAAGTAAGGCAGCCTGTGATCCATGTTTATTTTTTTGCACCTATTAA